GTGACCATGAGGCAGGACAGCATGGTGGCAGAGTACAGGTGGGGGCGGTACAGGTGGGGGCGGTACAGGTGGGGGCGGCTGGTGGGCCAGCTGGCCTGGCTGGGCCAGCAGGGGCCCGCAGGGGCATGCGTGTGGGTTGCAGGGTCCCTGGGGCGGGCGCACGTGCCGGGGTGGCGGCGGCGACAGTGGGCAGCTGCGCGCGGCGGCTTGTGATCGTGGGAGGGGAGGAGGTGGGGCGCTGCGCCCTGCCCGCCTCCTGGCAGGGCACCACCGCAGGCTGCCCGCTGGTGGTTTGGCCCCGGCGTGCCCTCCCCAACCATGCCCCGCCCACCCCCGCCGCCGCCTCCAGGGGCGTGCTGGTGCGCGCCAGCGTGGCGGAGGCGCGGGAGCGGCGGTACCGCCAGCAGGGGCGGGACTGCTACCTGTTCAACCTGGATGACCAGCACGTGCTGGATGCCACGAGGGCGGGAGCCATCAGCAAGTTCACGGTGTGCAGGGCTCAGGGGCAAGGGGTGGGGAGGGCGGGCCCGGCTGGGTCTTGGGAGCTGGATGCGCACGCGGCGGCTGGGAGGCCGAGCTGTGGTCAGGCCGGCCTGTTCCCGTTGCTGCTTGCACCCACCCTTGCTCGAGCCTCCTTTGCTCCTCCCCTCCCTCCCCTGCCCCCCACTTCTTTCCTCCCCTGCCCCCCCTGCCCGCCTCCCTCAGAACCACTCCTGCAGCCCCTCCATGTACAGCAAGATACTCAACATCGACGGCCGCCAGCGCCTCGTCTTCTTCGCGCGCCACGACATCGAGGTGGGGCAGGAGCTGACGTACAACTACAGGTGGGGGGGGAGCCTGCGGGGGCGCTGAGGGGCGCGGGGGGCGGCATGGGGCCTTGCTGGGTGCTGGGTGCTGTGCTTCGTGTGCTGTGCTGTGCTGTGTGTGCTGTGCTGTGTGGGTCTGGCTGGGCAGGGGCCGAAGGAGCCAGTTGCCGGGCGTTGCAGGTTTGAGCGGGAGGAGGGCGAGGAGCGGGTGCCGTGCGCCTGCGGCGCCCCCAACTGCTCCGGATACCTCAACTAGGATAGAGCTAGGCAGCAGCGCTAGCAGCCTTACTTCACACCAGGACACACGGCGGCGCTGCAACCAGCCGCCGCCGGGTTGCTGCCGGCCCATCGTTTCAGCTAGGCAGCAGCGCAGCAGCTGTGCCCCGTCCGTCCAGGAGCGGTGGGCGCACCATCGCATCGTTTCATGTTCAGTTCTGCCGGCAGTACCATCCTGCCGATCATTTTGTCTGCTTCTGTCTGTCTGCCTTTTTTGCTCAGCTCACTCCTCTTTCTGGCTTTCATTCATGCTCCTCTACCACATACTCTGCACGTTTCAGCCCATCGACCATGCATGCACTATATATTCTGTTACACCATTCCCAGTGATCTGGGCAGGAGCTGGCAACCGAGGCAACAGCTGGTAGCGGCCCGCACTCTCCCTGCTGTAACCTGGGAAAAGGTATCCCACCACCAATGCATCAGAAGGTAGATCGATGCGGGTATCCAAGGCTGACCCTCGCGGGCGGCCACGCAGCACTGTCGGAACAGATTCCAGAGGAACGGCGTGCCGCCGCTGCCGTAGGGGACGCCTCAGGAGGGCCCCAGCGCGATGTTCATGGCCTTCCGGAAGGCCTTCAGGGCGCGGCTCTTTTTCCACTCTTCTCCCTCCTTGATGATCGCCACATTCAGCGCGCCCGTCAGGTATGCCGGCATCTCCCAGGCCCAGTTGCCGGGGAGGGCTGCGGGGGCAGCAGCGCCGGCGCCGGCGGTCGGCAAGGCGGGCCAGCATGGGGGCATGGGCAAGCGCAGCAGGGCAGGGGAGGATGGGCAGGGCAGAGGGGGGCCAGGGCAGGAACCCCGTCACATGGCGGCAGCGCACGGTGCGGCACGCGGCCACGGCACCCCCCGCCAGTCTCGCCGCCACCACCCTGCTGCCCCCTCAAGCTGCCGCTTGGTGCCTCACCGTAATCGGGGAACATGCCGGA